ATTAAGAAGGTAGTGGTCACTTTAGTTATTTAATAAAAATCTCCTAAAATTTTATTTTTACATATTTTTCTGATGCAAGTCAGATGCAAGTTATGTTCAAGAGGAGGTGTTTTATTTTTACTGTGAGTTTGGTGACATTACAATGCATAATAAAGTAGATATTGGTCATTTTATTATCAATTTATTTATAACAAAAAATCCCCCAAAATTAAATCTTTGCATATTATACCAATGTAAGAGTTGCAGTATAATAAAGAGGACATTTTCTATTTGTATTGTGTGTTTGGTGGCACTACAATGTGTAATAAAAAGCTAGTATTCATTACAATACTTATGTAATAAAAAATAAAAAAAATCCCAAGAATTAGGCTTTTACATATTTTCCAAATTTAGCTGTAGTATGGTCAAGATTTAATGGTCAAGACAGAAGACCCAAATTTTCAGCCAGAAACAGAGGAGTAGAACTTAAAGAGTTTATTCAGAACTCAGGACTTCAGGAGCGCATGGATTACTATGAATGGAGATGTAGGTTTGTGTCTTCAAGGAGTTCAAATAATAAAATGCATTAAACCAAAAAAAAAAAAAAAACACTAACCTAATCTAAGTCCTCCCTTCAGCGGGGATCTACAGCTTTAACAGAGCGGACTGCTCCTTTAAAAGTTGTTGGGTGGCCAACAGTTGTGTGGCTTGGAGCACAGAAGCAGGATCAAGGTCCTGGAAGCCAGACCCAGGCTTAATGATCAAGGGGCTTGGCAGGAGGCAGAAGTCAAGGGGCAGAAACAGGGGCATTGTCCAGAAGACAGAGAAATCTGATGAGGGCTAGGCAAGAGGGAAAATCTGTGAAGCGAAGACATGGTCAAGAGCTTGGTCAGGTAACGTGAAGTGCTAGGTACTGCTTGTTTGTTCTCTTGCAATTATCTGGCCCTGTCTGCCTGCCACAGGCTGACTTATAACTGCTTGAGCACAGCTGAGAGACATGCTGCAGATTGCACTGCAGTGCAGCAGGCAGCAGCTGGAGTTGATTGCTCACAGGGAGAGCAGAGCAGGCAGACAGGCCAGAATCATAACATAAGAGGAGATGGTGTGTTGTACTGTGATTATTGTGGCACAAAAAATGCAACAAAAGAGTTATTTGTCATTTTATTATTTATTCAATGAATAATAATCAGAAAAATAAAGAAGTAATATATTTGTGTATTTTTATTTAGTTGGTGTAAACTTCAGATTGCAAATGCAAATAAGTATTTCTGTAGTCAGTGCAATCTATTTCATTTTTTGGTCTGGGGGGATATCCCTCAAGAGACCAACCACCACCTCATCAGTAGCATGCCCAGGCATTGCAAGGAGGTCATACAGGCATGTGGAGTCCAAACAAAATACTGAGCCTTATTTTGACCTGTTTTATCAAAATTGGACGAGCCTGTTGTGTATGTGACTCCAAATCCAGGCCTACTCGAATCCTTTTAATAGGTTACTTATCCAGGTAACTTTCTAATCTTAGCAACAAATTTTCTGCCGGGGCTCGAGCGCCAAAGATTTCATTATACATGATTGACATACATGATTTCATTCATGCATGTCAATGTCAATAAAGCTTTTCTAATTGCACCATTTCTCTGTGAGAGTCTCTCCAGGTTGAAATAAACTATATGAAAAAACAGAATTTACAGGATAAACTTCATTATTTTTTCATTTTTCTTTGTCCTAAAGTTTTTAAATTATGATTCTCAGAGTTTTCAACACAGGCTGCTCAGTGGCGCAGTGGGTAGCACTACTGCCTTGCAGCAAGAAGGTTCTGGGTTTGATTCCCGGCCTGGGGTCTTTCTGCATGGAGTTTGCATGTTCTCCCTGAGCATGAGTGGGTTCTCTCTGGGTACTCTAGCTTCCTCCCACATTCCAAAAACATGACTGTTAGGTTAATTGACTTCTCTAAATTGTCTTTAGGTGTGAGTGTGTGCATGAATGGTTGTTTGTATCTCTGTGTTGCCCTGCGACGGATTGGTGCCCATTGACTGCTTGAGATAGGCACCAGCACCCCTCGCGACCCCACTCGGGACAAGCGTGTCAGATAATGGATGGATGGAGTTTTCAACACCTTTTAAATATAGCAAATTCCTCAAATGTGCAATACTTTCTATATGGATTACACAAGTAGAAATGATTCTGTGTATTACCATGTTGAAACCTGTTTAGCTTGCAAAAATATTAGTGAGTTATAAAATCTGGATGGATGGATGGATGGATGGATGGATGGATGGATGGATGGATGGACAGATGATCAACATTTTTGGTATTATATGTTCACACATGGGCTTAGTTGGGGATAAAATGCTTTACCTTTATTAATGTTTTTGTATGTGGAAATCAACACACCAGCAAATTTGACATTTTAATAACAACCCAAGTTTTTTTTTTGTCTGACTTGTCAGATATTTCAGAAATTAGCTTTGTATGCTTGAAGGTTCTGTAGGTTAAAAACTGGATGGGAGTTTTCAGCCGTGAAAAAATGTGAGATACTGTAACTAAATTTAAAGAATGTATGTTCTCTCAGTTGTGAAATTTTCGGGGTATATATCCTTCCCCTGTAGCATCTGGGCCCATATACCACACTTGACCCCCTACAAACCTCAGGCTGAGTATCTGCACACCATTGCAGGAGAACACAGCAGCATTTCCACCCTTATTAGAGACACTGTCAGTGACTCAGGGAGAAGACTCCTCGGTATGACTATACTCAGCCTTATTTTCTCTGAAAACCCATCTTTTTTTTCTTCCAAGAAACATCTAAAAGAGATTAAAATGTACTATTAGCTGGTCTGCCTAGTCAGGTTTACTTAGCAGGGACTTGGGAATCTGCCCTTATAGTGTTCTACATTAGATTTCAGGAACACCTGAGGCGGTGGGGAGGAATTCTTAATGTCATAAATGAATATGGAAATACCACTGCATGTCATAACACATGCATTAGTCATACTCTGATCTAAAAGCAACCAGGATGCCAAACTGCTACTGCTGCACAAATAATGCTTTGAAGAATCCAAGCTCCACTGTAGCTGAGTGGCATTTTAAAACTTTTTCCCAGAACAATCTCACTGTAGGATTTACTGATATTACTGAAGAAAGATCCTCCAGGTCTACCTTGGTCATTTTGAGTGTGAGATAGGAAAAATGACCAAGGAAAAAGAAAGAAAATCTTTTAAATGTACTTCTTTATTTTTGTCCTTTACTCCAGCAGTGATAAAACCGTAGTTCCACTCCTAGCCTTCCATTGGATTTATAAATAGAAAGGTTCTTTCTTGATTAGTTTCCCTCTGGTTTAGCACTCTAGTTAAAGGCAAGCAGTTGAAATTATTTATCTATAATTTCTTGAAGAATTTAAATATCCCAGTTTGCAGATCATTTAAAGCTGGTCTGGATGTGGTGACATGGTTGAGGAGCAAGGAGCTATTTATGTAAGCAAGGTATCTTCTCCTACCCCTGCTGATTTCTCAATTAATATAAAAAAGTAGTTGAGCCACTTACATTTTCATTTCAAGTGGAAATGTGAGACATTAAACACATGTGAGACCCTCACAAAGAGTGAAATGCAAGTTAAAAGTATTTTAATGTACTGTAATGGTTATTCAGCCAAGTAATCAGTAAATATCAGTAGAAATCCGCTGTAGATCGCTAGGATGAGAAACGGAACCTTTCTGTCATAGCCCGTGTTTCCAGGTGCTCCCTCCCCTCAGAGGAGTTTTGGGAACGAAAGAGAATGGTTCGTTGTTCTTGATCCTGTGATCATTCACTCTGTTTTTCAGGTTAGTACAACGTGAAAACAACCTCAACTTATCCCTTCAGATTCAATAGTTTATGTGAAGTTACTGGGAGACCGTTTATGACATTTTTGAGTGCTTTAGATCGAGTTTTAGACACTATAAAAAGTCCGCGATTTTCGCGGGTTGTGCTGCAGTTGTTGCCGTGGCAACGGGCAGCCTTGTGACACTGAAGGTGGTTGTTTATATTCATCCACGATAATACTACTGTTGGTTACCTGATTACTTGACAACTGTAATTTATTAGGTGAAGGGTTTTGTTATCTTTACATTTATTACAATACTTTAATATTTCTTCTCTTTACATTTCCAAATATTTGTGTTTAAGGGTTTACTGTACACTGTATGGTTTATGAAGATAAGTGAGCCTTTAGTGCACTTATTGTTGTTGGAATGGTTTGAACATACATATTTGTTATTTTCCATTTTTATTTCCCATTTGCAATGATGTCAATAAGATTTGAAAATACATATTGAGTATTCTGAACAGCTTTAAGCTAAAGAAAATGAAAGTGAATTCATATTGCACTATAGCTGTGATTAGCAGCACTATAAAAACTGCACTGGCTAACAGTATTATTTGTTCTATTTAATAGCAGCTATATGGGACTAGTACCTGTACAGAGAGTGCCCGTGGATATATTTCAATGTGAAATGATGAGGGGTTTAGGTGTTTATTGAAGTCAAAGCGTGATACTGAGTGTGAGAGAAACTAGTGTATTTTGACAGAGTTATATGGTTATGTTTAATATAACAATAGCTTTATGGTTATACTGTATGTTTGTGTTCTATGGGAACAGAACAAACAACATTACATACTTACCTGTTTAATGGACACTGGACACTGCACATTCACTTACATTCACACATATCATACTTACCTGACAGTACCACACACTCACCTACTTACCTGAAACATACACTACCTGAAAAAAAGGGAATAAGAACTGTATACACGTTCGTATGCACATTGTACCTGGAAGAAGACACTGAAAGAGACACTATTGCAGATTTTGGGAATATTTTATTGGTTGTTTGATTGATTGTTTTGTTATATAATTGGGAATAAATGAGAGGAGTTTTGGGAACGAAAGAGAATGGTTAGTTGTTCTTGATCCTGTGATCATTCAATCTGTTTTTCAGAACCCAAAGCCAGCGAGACACTGAAGACTCATCTCTCTCATTTTTTTTTTTCTTCAATATTGTGACGTGGTACCCGGCCCAGCTTGGGACCCGTTACAAATTGTGGGGGCTCGTCCGGGATCAGCGCCGCCTTCCGGTTGGAATGCTGATCCAGTGATACCAGAACCACGAGACCACGGTGACCAGTCGTGACAGGCCAGCAATCAGCCAGTGGGTGTCCAGGAGCAGAGATAAGACAAAAGATCTCGCCAGGGAGCCGCACAGCTGAAGTGGAGAGGCACAGCACATCAGTCACCAAGGATCAACGCTGCTGGTTCGTCACACCAGTAGTTACCCCCAACAAGAATTCGACTCATCATCAGAACCACACACCATGTCCCGGCAACGGGAAGAGGTGGTGTGGAACATCAAGAAGAACTTGTTTCGACTATCAAGTGCCCACCTCTACGAGGTTGCGAGGGACCTCGTATCTGGCAATGAAATCGACCAACTTAGTCCAGCTGATGAGGAAGGATGCCTGGACTACGTCATCGCCTACATGCAGTCTGAAGACCTTCTGAGAAGCGAGGATGAAGGTTTGAGCACACTGCTGATGCTGAATGATTTCATCTGCAAGATATTAGATACAGAGTCCCCCGCTGCCGCCACGCCACATGCCGTGTTCAGTGCCAGCTCCAAACCTTCTCCTTCAGTCCACACATTGACGCCACCCAATCCCCATTCCAACCCCCCCAACAATGCAACCACCCAGCCAGGAGAGGAACTGACGAGAATGTATGAGGAGCTGGGTAAGAAACTGAGACTATTAGAAGCTGCGGCTGCCACCCCCGCCCCTACACACAACCACCACGGTGGGACAGTGTCAACGCCTCCTCCACAGACCACCCCGGAGAGGATGATTCCCCTGAAAGACCTCCCCTTTCTCCAGCGCAGAGAGTTCAAGGTCCATGGAGGCCAAATTGGAGACCAGAGCTCAGAGATCAGCTATAACAGCATCAGTAAACAGATCGACGAGGGACTGAAAGACGGCTTCCCGGAGACAGAAGTGGTCCGGGGTGTGCTGAGAATCATCAAACCGGGTACATTCAAGGACATGCTGTCGAATAAGGATGAGCTTGCTGTTCCCGAACTCAAGGTCTTCCTCAGGTCTCATCTTGGGGAGAAGGCAACCACGGAGATGTTTCAGGAGCTGATGTGTGCCCGACAAGCTGAACAAGAGTCACCCCAGCAGTTCCTGTACCGCATGATCGGACTCAAGCAGAGGCTCTTTTTCCAGTCAAAGCAGGCCGACACGGACATTTCTTATGACCCTAAGACCATCCAAGGGGTCTTCCTCAACACGATCTATCAGGGCCTGGGAGCGAAACATGCCGACCTTCGACAGAGACTGAGACCCCTTGTCTCCAACAGCCAAGTCACAGATGAGGAGATCCTCGGTCAAATGACTAAAATGATCAGCGACGAGAATGAACATCAACGCAGACTCAGCCAGCCTCCCCGCCAGAAGAGCACACAGGCCCACACTGCCAAGGTGGAGACAGGAGGTGGACAGACGGATGACAAACTGAGACACACCATCATTGCGGACGACAAAAACCACCAGACCATCCAACAGCTCAGTGCGCAGGTGGAGACCCTGACACAGATGGTGGCCGCACTAATGGATGCTAAGGTGAACAACAGCAACACCCAGATGGCCCACTCACTACCCCAAACCCAGCCATATCACCCCTTTCAGCCAACCCCCAATTGCATCCCTCTCCTACCACCACCAGCCCGACCACCTACCAATCACACCCCCCAGCCCTCCTTCCAAGTGAGGGGGAGGACAGCGCGCTGCCCAAAATGTACAGAACAGAATCTGCAGGACTGCACGCATTGCTTTGTGTGTGGAGAGGCAGGACACAGAGCAGTGGGATGCTGGAAGCGAACCAGGTTCCAGGAAAACGAGACCCGGTCTCTGCCGAGGGACAGCCAGAGACCGGTGCACCACTCCAGTCCCAGCCAGTAGACCGCACCCGCAAAAAACCAACAGGACGGCCCAAGAAACCCAAACCTCAGCCACACACCCTTACCTGCCAGAGCACCATCGGATGTCAAGCACCCCTAATTGGGAAGAAGAGCCAGCTGAAATGCTCGATCAATGGAAACCCAACAACAGTCCTTTTTGACACCGGCTCGCAGGTGAGCATCATTGACAGAGCGTGGGCCGGTGTTCATATCCCCAATTACCCAGTGAGGTCCCTGCAGGAGCTGCTTGAAACAGACCTGAAAGTCTATGCAGCCAACGGCCAAGCCATCCCCTATGACGGGTGGGTAGAACTCACGGTCAGCCTGGCAGGAAATGAAGACCCCAACCTCATTGTCCAGACCCCCTTTCTGGTCAGTCGGTGTCCCCTACCCCAGCCATTGTTAGGTGCCAATGTACTTGAACAGGTCATCAAGAGACAAGAGTCCTCTGGTGCTGCTCTAGTTGTACTGGTCAGCCTTCTACGCAGAGCATTTGGAATGGAGGAAGAGGAGGTGATGGCCATGGTCAACTTCATCCAGGTTCCGCAGAAGACAGACTGTGACCCAGCCATGGTGAGAGTGGGCAGGGACAATGTTGTTATTCCAGCAGGAAGTGCAGTACATGTGTGGTGCCGGGTCCCACCTAACTTCGACGCCTCTGATCCCATTGTCCTGTATGAGCCAGCAGAGGATAACCCGATTTTAGAACAGCTAAGTGTGGGAGAAGGCCTTCTGGAAATCCACCACACACGTCGGCCGTACGTTAAGGTGCCCATCTCCAACCACTCAAAGCATGAGATCACCCTGCCAAAGAGGACTCACCTCGGTGTCATCCAACATGTGACCAAAATCATTGACACTGACGCTGCAGAGCCACAGGTGAGAGCAGCAGTAGAGGTTAACACCACCTCTCCCAGTGTGACCTCCAGCGAACCCTGGCTGCCACCTGTCGACATCAGTCACCTGGACCCTGAACAACAGCAGACAGTGGAGAGAATGCTGTGTGAGGAGTCTGGGGCCTTTTCACGTGACAGTAGCGACATCGGTTGCATCCCCTCACTACAGATGGAGATCAGGCTCAAGGACGACATCCCAGTGCAGAAGGCCTACGCATCGATCCCGAAACCACTCTACAAAGAGGTGAAGGAATACGTTCAGGACCTGATAGTAAAAGGATGGATCGTCAAGTCCCAGTCCCCTTATGCAGCCCCTGTCATATGTGTGAGGAAGAAGGATGGATCCCTGCGCCTGTGCATCGATTACCGGCTCCTCAACAACAAGACCGTGCCGGACCGGCACCCCCTCCCCCGCATACAAGATCTCACCGACTCCCTGGGAGGATATGGCTGGTTTTCGATACTCGACCAGGGCAAGGCCTATCACCAAGGCTTTATGGCAGAAGGATCAAGGTACATGACTGCATTCACGACCCCATGGGGACTGTACGAGTGGGTCAGAATCCCCTTTGGCCTATCCAACGCCCCAGCAGCATTTCAAAGGAGCATGGAGGAGATGCTCGACACGCTCCGAGATGAATGCTGCATTCCTTACCTAGATGACGTTCTGTGCTTCTCAAAGTCCTTTGACGAGCATGTGCAAGTCCTGCGGAAAGTCCTCCAAGCTCTCCAACGCCACGGCGTAAAGTTAAAGCCAGAAAAGTGTGAGCTGTTCCGGAAAGAGGTCCGCTATGTTGGCCGGTTGGTGTCAGCAGAAGGGGTTAGAGTGGATCCCAAGGACCTGGAGGCAGTGCGAATACTAAAACACAGAGCACCAAAGACGGTCGGAGATGTCAGACAAATACTAGGCTTCCTGAGCTACTACAGAAGCTACGTGCAAGACTTCTCACGGATAGCCCAGCCCCTGTATGACCTGCTCAAGGAACAGTCTGACAGCCCCCAGTCTAAACCCTCTCGAGGGAAAACAAAATCCCCTCAGCAGTCCTCTCGCACCCCAGTTGAGTGGAACGAGAAACACCAGCAGATCCTGGAGCGTCTGGTCGACATGTTGATGGAACCCCCAGTGCTAGCGTACCCTGACTTCAATCAGCCTTTCACACTCCACACCGATGCATCACAGAAAGGCCTCGGAGCAGTGCTTTATCAGCATCAGGGTGGAAAACTGAGAGTGATCGCCTACGGCTCACGCACATTGACACCAGCAGAACGGAACTACCATCTACACAGTGGTAAGCTTGAGTTCTTGGCGTTAAAGTGGGCGATATGTGACAAATTTAGAGACTATTTATTCTACGCCCCTCACTTCACTGTCTTCACGGACAACAACCCACTCACATATGTCCTAAGTACCGCCAAGCTCAACGCAGTAGGCCACCGGTGGGTGGGACAGCTTGCTGATTTCAGCTTCAATGTCAGATACCGACCAGGCAAAATTAACATCGATGCCGACACCCTCTCCCGTTGTCCCCTCGATATCGACACCCTCATGACAGAGTGCTCCGAGGAGCTGACAGATGAGGCTGTGTGCACTACATGGGAGGGAACCCGAAGAGCCCAACGAGAAGACGTTGCCTGGGTCGCAGCCCTCAACTTAGCATCCCAAACCCAACCCTACATGGAACCACTGCAGGCGATTAGTCATGATGAGCTGGTAAGAGGACAGAGAGCAGACACTGCGATTGGAAAAGTGATGGAGTTGAAGGAGAATAACACACAACCGACAGAGTGCAACAAGGGTAACTGTGACACAGACACCATGCGTCTCCTGAGAGAGTGGAGCAAGCTGCACATAGAAGGTGGATTGCTTTACAGGAAGACAATAGGACGGAAACAGTTGGTCTTACCCGCCACCTACAGGCCACTAGCTCTCACCTACTGTACCTGCATAACAACATGGGCCATGTTGGTGTGGAAAAAGTACTGACTCTAGCAAGAGAGCGCTTCTACTGGCCTTTCATGAAACGAGAGATAGAAGAATACGTCACCAGAAAGTGCCCTTGCCTGAAACAGAAGAAGCCAGCCGTGCATGAAAGAGCACCGATGGGTAGCATTACGTCAAACTCTCCCCTCGAACTTGTGTGTATCGACTTCCTCCACCTGGAGCCCTCCCGTGGTGGATGTGAGTACATTCTTGTCGTAGTCGACCACTTTACCAGGTTTGCACAAGCCTACCCCACCCGTAACAAGGCAGGCAAGACGGCGGCCGACAGACTGTTCAATGATTTTATCCCCAGATTCGGATACCCATCTCGGCTCCACCATGACCAGGGTAGGGAGTTCGAGAACGAGTTGTTCAAGTCACTGCGACAGTTAGCCGGCGTGGGCCATTCCCGGACCTCCCCCTATCACCCCCAAGGTAACCCTGTAGAGAGGCTGAACCGCACGCTGCTACAGATGCTCAGGACCTTGGGAGAGAAAGAAAAAGAGAACTGGAAAGATCACCTGCCACAAGTGGTCCATGCATATAATTGCACGAAGCACGAAGCCACCGGCTTCTCTCCATATTACTTGCTATATGGCCGGCATCCACGTCTCCCTGTCGACCTGCTGTTTGGCCTCCTAACAGATGAAAAGGACGGGACCCACAGAGGATATGCTGAAAAGTGGGCAGGAAAAATGACTGAAGCTTATCGCATCGCCAATGCAAACAGTAAGCAGTCCAGCTTAAAAGGGAAGAAATACTATGACAAGCAGAGCAGAGGAGTGGTCCTTCAGCCTGGAGACAGAGTCCTCGTCCGTAACTTCAGTGAGAGGGGTGGTCCTGGTAAGCTGAGACCATATTGGGAGCAGACCATCTACCTCGTAAAAGAGAAGGTTGGAGACAATCCTGTCTACAAAGTGACCCCTGAGACAGGAGGCTGAGCTACTCGCACTCTAAACAGAAACCTGCTGTTACAAGTGAATGACCTGCCTATAGAGCCACCCCAGAAGCCAATCACCACTGCACGTGAGTCACACAAGAGAGCTAAGAGACAGACTGAACAGACACGGAGTCCAAACACAAGTGACTCTGAGGAAGAGGATGGAGTCTATCGCTACTGGCTGCGGATACCTGCAGAGAACTCCCAGACCAGCCACCATGTACCAGATCAAAGTGTGACTCAAGAGCCACAGAGAAAGGAGGAACAGAATGGAAACTACCAGGATAAGAGAGTCCTTGCTGAACCTGGACGGGAGAGAGAAAGTGTTACAGAAGAGGATCAGGAGGTATTCAGTGAGGCTGAACAGGTCGTGGGACAGGTCGTGGGACAGCCTCAGCCGCATGACGACCCAGCAATAGTCCCACTCGAAGCAGTCAACTTGGAGGAAGACATCCCAGGGCCTCAACCTGACCGACAGCCCCCTCTGAGACAATCTACCAGGGTGAGACGGCCTGGCTATGTGTTTACCTACCCCTCCCTGGGCCAACCAGCCTACCAGCCCCGTCCCACTGTGAATACAGTTGGAATCCAGCCGATACAGTGGCCCCAGTTGTACTACCCCTACCCCCTTCCCTTTCAACCCCCTATGGCCCCCTCCATCACTCACTACCCATTTGCACCCATTCATTGTTTCTGAACTGAGACACAGAGAAGATACGCATACTTCCCAGGCACGCACGCATACTCATATACAATCCAGAAGTGCCATGGACTACACACAGTAGAGACATTCGGTACCTCCCTCAGAAGAACTTTATTATTTTTCATATACACTGTTTACAAGAAGTTTGGACTTTGGGTTTTTCTATTATTAAGGTCAGGTGTCAGGAGCCACTTCTGTTTGTCGGGGAGTGTGTGAGACCCTCACAAAGAGTGAAATGCAAGTTAAAAGTATTTTAATGTACTGTAATGGTTATTCAGCCAAATAATCAGTAAATATCAGTAGAAATCCGCTGTAGATCGCTAGGATGAGAAACGGAACCTTTCTGTCATAGCCCGTGTTTCCAGGTGCTCCCGCCCCTCAGAGGAGTTTTGGGAACGAAAGAGAATGGGTCGTTGTTCTTGATCCTGTGATCATTCACTCTGTTTTTCAGGTTAGTACAACGTGAAAACAACCTCAACTTATCCCTTAAGATTCAATAGTTTATATGAAGTTACTGGGAGACCGTTTATGACATTTTTGAGTGCTTTAGATCGAGTTTTAGACACTATAAAAAGTCCGCGATTTTCGCGGGTTGTGCTGCAGTTGTTGCCGTGGCAACGGGCAGCCTTGTGACACTGAAGGTGGTTGTTTATATTCATCCACGATAATACTACTGTTGGTTACCTGATTACTTGACAACTGTAATTTATTAGGTGAAGGGTTTTGTTATCTTTACATTTATTACAATACTTTAATATTTCTTCTCTTTACATTTCCAAATATTTGTGTTTGAGGGTTTACTGTACACTGTATGGTTTATGAAGATAAGTGAGCCTTTGGTGCACTTATTGTTGTTGGAATGGTTTGAACATATTTGTAATTTTCCATTTTTATTTCCCATTTGCAATGATGTCAATCAGTTTTGAAAAGACATATTGAGTATTCTGAACAGCTTTAAGCTAAAGAAAATGAAAGTGAATTCATATTGCACTATAGCTGTGATTAGCAGCACTATAAAAACTGCACTGGCTAACAGTATTATTTGTTCTATTTAATAGCAGCTATATGGGACTAGTACCTGTACAGAGAGTGCCCGTGGATATATTTCAATGTGAAATGATGAGGGGTTTAGGTGTTTATTGAAGTCAAAGCGTGATACTGAGTGTGAGAGAAACTAGTGTATTTTGACAGAGTTATATGGTTATGTTTAATATAACAATAGCTTTATGGTTATACTGTATGTTTGTGTTCTATGGGAACAGAACAAACAACATTACATACTTACTTGTTTAATGGACACTGGACACTGCACATTCACTTACATTCACACATATCATACTTACCTGACAGTAACACACACTCACCTACTTACCTGAAACATACACTACCTGAAAAAAGGGAATAAGAACTGTATACACGTTCGTATGCACATTGTACCTGGAAGAAGACACTGAAAGAGACACTATTGCAGATTTTGGGAATATTTTATTGGTTGTTTGATTGATTGTTTTGTTATATAATTGTGAATAAATGAGAGGAGTTTTGGGAACGAAAGAGAATGGTTCGTTGTTCTTGATCCTGTGATCATTCACTCTGTTTTTCAGAACCCAAAGCCAGCGAGACACTGAAGACTCATCTCTCTCATTTTTTTTTTTCTTCAATATTGTGACGTGGTACCCGGCCCAGCTTGGGACCCGTTACACACAGAAAATATTTAACTTATTCTCAAATTGATTCATTTGTACTAAATTATAATTTAGTAGTGTTGTGAAAGTTTACCAGAAACAGATAAGATAACAAATAAATTACATAACTAGAACTGGAAGTTATAGTTAATTAATAGGTAATTCAAATCAAGGGTAAAACTAGCTATTTATTATCAGTTGAATGATTATAACTGTAAATTGCTTACTGACCAGGGATTTAGCCTCTTACCAAAAAGGTTAGACTCCTGAATCCGGCTGCTAAAATTCAGTTGTCTTTCACCTATTTAATAATGTAGGCTATGGCTATCACCAACGTTATTAACCATCAACCAAATAAATGTTTCTCTGTTCATTCGGATGCTACTGAAAGTGTGAATCCAGCCTGCGTGATAGATCGTTCACCGTGTAAAATGAACACAAAAGACCACAAGTTAAAGTACAATGGTACCTTTATTAGCTACAATTACACAGTATTATACCTAATAACTAAGCAAACACTAGTGAAAATAAGCTAAATTAAAGAAATAAAAGGGGAAGGGGGTTTAAAAGTCCATTAAAAGTCTGGGGGATGTTCGAATTTAAGGCTTAGTGCATTTGAAAGTGTCCTTTATTAAAGCAGCAGATAAAATGTGAATAAACCCTGACACAGAGATGTTAATTGCAGTCAAAACAGTTAAGTTTCATTCAGTTTATGGTGACAAATGAATAATTACTCAAAAATGTATTAAACTATGATGAGGTTGAAAGACCCGTTAACTTAGCTGGCCCCAGGGGTTCTGGTTCTGGTCGGGTCCAACTGAAACAAAGAGAAGATTAGCTCACGATGTAGCAGTTAGCTTCAGCAACACATGACTTGTGGAGTTTATGTAGTGAGCATTACCATTCAGTCAAAATCTTAAAACCATCAGCAGTTGAATAAGAAAGCTTATTTCAAATAAAACACAAACACAGCTATCTATTCCACATATTTCACCCAAGCAGAGCACGTATTAAGCATCAGGTGGAAAGGAGTGGGAAGAATGATGTTTTGGTTCGGTGGAGCGAAGTGCTTCGGCTCGGTCCGGTTTTGTGGAGGCCCCATCTTCATTCCAGTCTGTTCAACAATTATAAAAATAAAAAAAGGCAATTTTGAAAAGGCTTCATTTTACAACTCATGGTAGCCGAGACGTCTCCCTTTTAGCTACCGTGGTTAACTTGTAGCCGCAACCTCAAGCAGCTCCTTGGTGCTCCTCCATCTCTCCGTCACGGGTCTGGTGGCTTCTAACGGCTCTTTCGCCGAACAACAATTGGGCAAGAGCGGGATTAGCTCTTCTCTGTCTTTGCTGCAACAGGCTTCAGGGAACACTGCATTCAACCTGGTTTGAATGGCAGAAAGAATAAAAGCACTGCATTCAGCTCCTTCTGAATCGCAGGAAAAAGGTCTGACTCAGTCTAGCGACAGAGATGGCAAAAGTACTCACTTTCCGTACTTGAGTAAAAGTACAGATACTTGTGTTAAAAAATACTCTGGTAAAAGTGGAAGTACTGATTAAACTTCTTTACTCAAGTAAAAGTAACAAAGTACAGGCTTGTAAATTTACTTAAAGTGTAAAAGTAGAAACCACTTTTTTCATGCTGTTGCCTACATTTTAAATGGATGTCTGCCAATAGGACTAGATCTCCATTGTGTTCATTTTCAATCATCTCGTCATCCATACTACTATGCTAACGCCACCGCCACCACGCTGCAATGATTTGCCGCGAATGAATAACGCCGAATCTGTCGATTCATCTTGTAGTGGTGCGTCATGTGCAACGTAGATTCCCATCCAATTAGATTGAATTTGGTATTGATGACATGAAAAATAATAACGGTAACTCCATTGAAATGATTCAAAACTAAAGTAACGAGCCAATTTTTTAAAAAGTAAGGAGTAGAAAGTATAGATATTTGTGTAAAAATGTAAGGAGTAGAAGTAAAAAGTCGCCATAAAAATAAGTAGTAAAGTAAAGTAAAAATATCATAAAAATCTACTTGAGTACAGTAACGAAGTATTTGTACTTCGTTACTTCCCATCTCTGTCTAGCGAGAGCAGACTTCTCCGGTGGGACAACGTAGCGTAGCCATGAGCTGGAAGCTCTTTGTCTAGCCTTCAGCGGAACAGAGCCAAGGGCAAATTAGAACATTGATACAGGAAGCTGGCCGTTTTAAAGCTTCCGATGGAGGGGTGTGTCTTCAGGGGGGAGTATTTCCAGTTACATCAGCGACACTGGATCACAACAGTAGATTAGAATATTGTTTTAGAATTTTTGTTTAAAAATAAAAAATCCATGTACTTTCCTCATGAATAGTGAACCAATCTCTGTCTTTAATCGAAGGGTACGTAAACTTTAAAGGATAACTGTATGTTATGCACTGATAGCTGAAGACGTAATTGTACATCTAAGTGCAAACTTAACTGCAGAAGCAGCTCGAATCCGCCCATCTATTGCTACATTTCCCTGACCCAGAGAAGGTACTCTTCCCTTTCCTTGCTAAAGACCTTGGCCTCAGGACCACGTCATTTTTAAAGAAGCAGAATCAAAAGTCTAAGACCACCAAAACAGGGCCCTTCAATACCTTGGCTGTGCTTGGCCCTTCAATACCTTGGCTGTGCTTCTCCCCATTGATTGATTGATCTGAACAGAATCACTGATAAAGAAGCAAACGTGGTGGAGTTCGACTTCGACTGGAAAGGATTCTGACTTACTGCCAGCAATGCAGACCAAGCGCCAACACCGGTCACACAGGGACCTAACAGCGCATATCAAAGGGCCTGGTATCCAATACTCCAGGAAAAAAAACAAAGGATATCCAGATGGACACGGTTGAACACCTACTTTGAATCCTTAAAGCACAGGTAGAGTAGTTGGGCAAACTCCCATGCACCCTCCAGGACCCTGCCAAGGGTGTAGAGCTGGTGTAGTGCTTCACAGCCAGGACTAAAGCCAAACTGCTCTTCCTGAATCCAAGGTTTGACTATACGAATTGACATTCCTCTTCAGAACTCATCAATAATCCTTGTTGGAACACACATTCCCTTATCAAAGAACTGTAATTAGCTAAAAAAAAATTGTAATTACATGAATATCACCTGTAACAGGTGAAATTAAGGACATATTAATTTGTGAGGACAGGGCACAAAATTAGATGTAAAATGTAAATTAAATATGTGGGAATATGCTACTGTACTCAACTAAAGATCAAATTTACCCAACTTTTACCAGGCTTGCTGTTCCTTTATGCTGAAGTTGAAGAATTTGACAGAAGAAATATATTTCCATTATTTCACACACTTTGTGCACCACACCACTTATACTAGCACTCACTCAGTTGCTTAGAGTTGTGCAACTGCTGCTGTGCTTGACAATTGAAATATTATCACGATTGGAAATTTTTTCATCACATTTTGGTGAGTTAGTTGTAACTGGGAATCAACTTGGTGTTCTAACATATCACCGCCCCCCAACAAACATACAGGTGCTGGTCATAAAATTAGAATATCATGAAAAAGTAGATTGATTTCAGTAATTCCATTTAAAAAGTGAAACTTGTATATTATATTCATACATTACATACAAACTCATATATTTCAGATGTTTATTTTGTTTAATTTTGATGATTACAAATGACAACAAATGAAAATCTCAAATTCATCATATCAGAAAATTAGAATATTGTGAAAAGGTTCAAAATTGATGGCCCCTGGTGCCACACTCTAATCAGCTAATTAACTCAAACCACCTGCAAAAGCCTTTAAATGGTCTTTCAGTCTAGTTCTATAGGCTACACAATCATGGGGAAGACTGCTGACTTGACAGTTGTCCAAAAGACGACCATCGACACCTTGCACAAGGAGGGCAAGACACAAAAGGTCATCGCTAAAGAGGCTGGCTGTTCACAGAGCTCAGTGTCCAAGCACATTAATAGAGAGGCGAAGGGAAGGAAAAGATGTGGTCGAAAAAAGTGTGCAAGCAAGAGAGATAACCGCACCCTGGAGAGGATTGTGAAACAAAACCCATTCAAAAATGTGGGGGAGATTCACAAAGAGTGGACTGCAGCTGGAGTGAGTGCTTCAAGAACCACCACACACAGACGTATGAAAGACATGGGTTTCTGCTGTCGCATTCCTTGTGTCAAGCCACTCTTGAACCACAGACAGCGTCAGAAGCGTCTTGCCTGGGCTAAAGAGAAACAGGACTGGACTGCTGGTGAGTGGTCCAAAGTCATGTTCTCTGATGAAAGTAAATTTTGCATTTCCTTTGGAAATCAAGGTCCCAGAGTCTGGAGGAAAAGAAGAGAGGCACTTCATCCACGTTGCTTGAAGTCCAGTGTAAAGTTTCCACAGTCAGTGATGGTTTGGGGTGCCATGTCATCTGCTGGTGTTGGTCCATTGTGTTTTCTGAGGTCCAGGGTCAACGCAGCCACATACCAGGAAGTTTTAGAGCACTTCATGCTTCCTGCAGCTGACCAACTTTTTGGAGATGCAGATTTCATTTTCCAACAGGACTTGGCACCTGCACACAGTGCCAAAGCTACCAGTACCTGGTTGAAGGACCATGGTATCCCTGTTCTTAATTGGCCAGCAAACTCTCCTGACCTTAACCCCATAGAAAATCTATGGGGTATTGTGAAGAAGAAGATGCAATACACCAGACCCAACAATTCAGAAGAGCTAAAAGCCACTATTAGAGCAACCTGGGCTATCATAACACCTGAGCAGTGCCACAGACTGATCGACTCCATGCCACACCGCATTGCTGCAGTAATACAGGCCAAAGGAGGCCCAACTAAATACTGAGTGCTGTACATGCTCATACTTTTCATGTTCATACTTTTCAGTTGGCCAACATTTCTATAAATCCTTTGTTTTTATTGGTCTTCAGTAATATTCTAATTTTCTGATATGATGA